TTTGCAAATTCTTGCCTCAATCCTCACTAATTCCAGAACATTTTCCTCACCCCTAAAGGAAACTTCATACCCATCAGCAGTCACTCACCGTTCCCCATTCCCCAGCCGCTGGTAACCACTAATATACTTTCTGTCAGTGGGCTTCAATATTCCGGACATTCCTAATAAATGAAATCATAAAATATATGGCCTTCTCTGTGTGGCTTCTTTCACTTAGCATCATGTTTCCAAGTTTCCTCCATGTATCAGAACTTCAATTCTTACTTATATCGAGATATTTCACATATTTTAAAGTATGTAATTCAGTGGTTTTGAGTATATTCACAAAATTTTTGTGTAAACATATGGTTTCCATGCTCTTGGGGTATATACCGAGGCGTTGAATCGCTGGGTCATATGGTAACTCTATGTTTAACTGTTTGAGTTACTGGAAAAACGGTTTCCAAAACATCTGCCCTACTTTATGCTCCCAACCTAGGAGTGTTTATTCAAGAAAAAACAGCTGAATCTCAACAAGAACAGCAGACTTTATGGTATTTTAAATTACCCTAGTCCCATCTACCACTCCACAGCTCTGTGGGAGCCTTGAAAAACAACAGCCCAAGTTTGCAGTACAGGAGGGAGCAGAGTGGTCCTCTTTTAAAGCCTCAGCCTCCCCAAATATTAATTATTTAACCTAACGGATCACTGGAAGACCCTCCTCCAAAGACTCGTCTTTATTTGAACTAAGAGTTCGTCTAGTGCTCTCTTCTTGACGGCATTGGCCAAAAACATTCATTGGAAAGTGGGTTTTTTTGGGGGGGGGGAATGCCTAAGGCAATAGATAACACTTGAGGGAAATAACAGACTAACCAAAAAACTGAAAAGAATCGGCTGAGCAACTACATGTCCACTGGAGCTTTGAAAAGTTCTGACATATTCCTGGGAATCTAGAAGGCCAAGTACATGCTTAGGGCACTGTACATGCTCAAGAAAAGTGTGAGAAGGCCCTGTAACTTCTCAACTCTGGCTGACCTTGAGGCTAGTGAAGGTTAATACAGAGTTGTAAACTGTTTGATTGCATGATGAAAGCAATGCACACACTGAGCCTCTCGGAAACGAGGGCGAGATTTATTTGTTCCAGGCACTCAATGAAATCTCTGTCCACCATTAGCCGACCACTGAGCTAACTGAGCTAAGATTTCAAGGGCTATATACAATAACGAAGAGAGTCTTTGCGGAATTCAGAGAAGTCCTAAATAAACATGAACTGCAACAGGCAGCCACAACGAAGCCCGGCAGGAAAGGAATCTCATTCCCAGCATTGCCACATGACGATATTCAAAAATGTCCAGTTTTTAATAAAATTTTATGAGGCACATGAGAATCAAGAAAGGATGGCCCATGTATGGAGGGGAGGGCAATCAATAGAACTGTCCCAAGGAAGCACAGGCATTGGAATTACTAGATAAAGCCTTTCATCAGCTATTTTAATATGTCCAAAGAGCTAACAGAAACAATGTCTAAAATCTAAAAGGAAAGATTCTACTCCAACACGGAAAGGGCTTGTTACAAGTCTTCACTCCCATCTTCACAACAAGAAAAAATATGAACAGATTAAAAATCAATGACTCTTTGTGGAGACATCAGAGTACTGAGGTCATGGGACCAGCTGCACCCCAAACCTAGAGGAACCAGCGATGACAGAGATGACAGATTGCAGGGACTACAACTCCTCACCCCTGAGACAGGAAGCGCTGGTGAGTGCAACCAGGACTTGAACCAGGATTTGAACGGCAGCTTCAATGAGCTGTGGACTAGCTTGAGAGATGAAACTCCTGGGGGGCCCCACCTAAGGTAGCCACCCCCTCCACAATCATGGTGTTTGCCCCTAGAATCCTCAACAGCTTTTCTGGATAACCGAGCGGAGCAAAATTGCTTCCTGTGTGGCCAGGGAGAGGCAAGAAAGAACTATTTTGAAAGAAGCCAAAAGTATTCTCCACAACAAAGGCTTACCCAGCAAGGGAGAAGCCTTACTGGACTCGGGGTAAGGGAAATGAGCAAACTCCAGGCCCCCTGAGCCTTCTCTCTTCGCATAAGGTGGGGGGAAAAACAGAGAAACACCTGAGAAGGTCCCAGCCCAGGGGAACAGGTACAATAAAAGACTGAGACCTAATCCCAGGATTACAGAATGCGTGCCCTCAGTCCAGACCTGACCAAACATCAACAGGGCTCCTGGCTAACAATAGTGGATTACAGATTACAGCCGAGAAGAACTGCAAGGCTCAAATTCTATGGAAGAAGTGTTTGCTAGGGAAACGAAAGATGCTGGGGGACAAAAACAAAGACACTAGTGGAAACTGAATCCTCTGATACTACAGAGACAGAAAACAGTAAATACAGCCTATCTCTTAGATAAAAATAAACGTCATACTAAAGGCCTATTTACTTCCTAATACCTGATAATTCACGACTGGCTTCCAACAACAACAACAAAAAACTACATGGCGTGATAAAAGGAAAGAAGAAACAATCTGAAGAGACAAAGCAGATGTCAGAACCAGATTCAGATATGGCAGAGATTTTGAAATCATCAGACAGGGAAATTAAAAATAAGTATGATTAATATGCTGAGGGCTTTCGTGGGAAAAGTGGACAACATGCAAGAACAGACAGGTAATGTAAACAGAGATAGAAACCCTAAGAAAGAATATAAAGGAAAGACTAGAAAAAGAAACCACTGTAACAGAAATCAAGTATACATCATCTGATGGACCCATCAGATGACTGGAAAGGGCTAGAGACAGAATCAGAGCACTTGAAGATCCGTCAACAGAAACTTCCCGGGCGCCTGGGTGGCTCAGTTGGTTAAGCGACTGCTTTCGGCTCAGGTCATGATCCTGGAGTCCCTGGATCGAGTCCCGCATCGGGCTCCCTGCTCGGCAGGGAGCCTGCTTCTCTCTCTGACCCTCCCCCCTCTCATGTGCTCTCTCTCTCTCATTCTCTCTGTCTCAAATAAATAAATAAAATCTTTAAAAAACAAAACAAAACAGAAACTTCCCAAACTGAACTGAAAGAGAAAAAAAAAAATAAAAATTAGAACAGAATATCTAATAACTGTGGGGCAATTACAAAAGGTATAGCATATATATCATGAGACTATCAAAAGCAGAAGAAAGAAAGAAACAGGAACTATTTGACATAATGATGCCTGGGATTTTTCTAAAATTAATGACAGAAACCACACCACAAATCTAGGAATCTCAGAGAACACGGAGCAGGATAAATGCCAATATACATATCTATATCTATATCTATATCTATATCTATATCTATACACACACACACACACACCCCTAGGCATATCATATTCAAACTGCATAAAGCCAAAGACAAAGAAAAAATCTTTTAAAAAGTCAGAGAAGAAAGACACCTTATCTAGAGAGGAACAAAGGTAAGAATTACATCAGACTTGCTTTAAAAATCATGCAAGCAAGAAGAGAGTAGAATGAAATATTTAAAGTGTTAAAAGAAAAAACCCACCAACCAAATCTATATCCAGAAAAATCATCCTTCAGAAGTAAGGGAAAATAATGACTTTCTTGGTGTAGTAGTTTCCTAGGGCTGCCATAACAAAATACCACAAACGGGGTGACTTAAACAACAAAAAAATGATTTTCTTACACTTCGGGAGACTGAAAGTCAAAGATCACGGTGCTTTAGTGTTGCCTTTTGGGAGGCCTCTCTGCTCGGCTTAGAGAGAGCCATCTTCACGCATGGCCTTACCTCTCTGCGCGCGTGCATCCTGGTGTCTCTTCCTCTTCCTACAAGGACACCAGTCAAATTGCAGGGAGGCCCCACCCTTATAGCCACAGGGGACATCAATGACCTTTCTAAAGGGAGTTAGGGCTTTGACAGATGAATTTTGCAGGGGGACATAATTCAATCCGTAACACTCAGACTTACAGAACTGAGAGAACTTTTGTCACCAGTCAATGTTAAAAGATGCTCTTCAGAGAGAAGGAACATGGTATTGGTCAGAAATCTGGATCTACATAAATAAAGGAGAGGTGTCAGAGAAGGAATAAATGAAGATTAAAATACAGTATTTTATTTTTCTTATTTAATCTAAAGGACGACTGTTCAAAGGAATAACAGCCACGATGTACGGGTGATCATAGCGCGTACGTAGGTCAGTGCAAGAAACGGTAGCAGTGTTATGAAGGGGTGGGAGTGGGGAGCTGGGGATTCTCTCTTACACCCACACTGCCCATACAGTGGTGCAGTGCTGTTTGAAGGTGGACCTAGATTAGTTGTAAATTTATGTTGTGCAGTCTAGGTCTAGGGAAACCACTAAAAAGTTAAAAAGAAATATAACTGATACGCTGAGAGAGAAGAGAAAATGGAATAATAAAAAATGCTCAATTAAAAGAGAAGGCAGAAACAGGAAGATTAAGAAAAAAACAAAAAACAAGTGCAACAAATACAAAATTTTGACAAACATGGTAGATACAAATCCAACTATATCAACAATCACTTTAAATGGGAGTGGTCTAAATACGCCAATTAAAAGAAGGGACTGTAAGGGTAGATGATAAACAAGACCAGACTATATGTTGTCTATAAGAAACCCAATTTGAATATAAAAACACACATATATTAAGAGTAAAAGAGCGGGGAGAGGGGTAGCCACGGACACTAATCAAATGAAAGCTGGAGTAGTGATAATTAATTTCAGACAAAAAGCATTTGAACAAGGAAACTTCCCAGGAATAACGAGGGTATTACATAATAAGGGGGGGTCAATTCTCTGAGAAGACACAATAATCTTTGAAATATATGCACTTTACAACGAAGCGTCACAATGCAAGAGGCAAGAACTGATAAAAATGCAGAGAGAAACAGATAACCCACTGTTAACGTGAGGGATTCCACACTCCCTCTATTAGTAACTGACAGATCCAGTAGGCAGAAAATCAGTAAGGATATAGCTGAACTCAAAAGAACCATCCATCAATGGATCTACTTGACAGTTTATTTGTAATTTTTTCCCAGCTTTATTTTTAATTGACAAATGAAACTGTATATACTTAAAGTGCACAATACAATTTGATATACGTACACATTGTGAAATGACCACAATTAAGGTAATTTTAACACATCCCTCAACTCACAGTTACCTTTTCTGTGTGCAGAAAGAAGGCTGAAGATCTGTTCTCTTAGCGGAATCTCTTCCTTGCAGATCTGTTCCCTCCTTCTAGACTCTAGGCTTCTGCCGCCACCACGTTCTGCCAGATCTTCCGAGACGTTCCAAGAAGCAGCCAAGCTTGATGCTCCTCTTCCTATGTCATGGAGCCAAAGGTACTGGAGCAGCGCTGTGTGTCTTGCGCCTGGTATTCGTTCAATCCAGAACCCGGGAACAAACTGGGTCCCAAGAATCAATACAAGTTCTACTCAGTGAACGGAGATTGCAGCAAACTGAAGAAGGTCCAGACTTCTAAATGAAATGTTTCACTATAAAGCTGCTTAAAATGAAGGTCTTCCAGAAGCCACCTGCACAATTTTCCACTTATCCAGGAAATCGTTCCCCTCTAAATACACGAAATCATTAATAAATATCTGAAACTTGAAAAAGAGAGAAAAAGATAGACTCCCTTAGCAAATGTCAAGTACACAATACAGTATTATTAACTGTGGTCACCACACCAAACATTAGCTCCCCAGAACTTATCTTTTGACCAACATCTGATTTCCTCCAGCCCCAGCCCCTGGCAATCACCATTCAATTCTCTGTTTCTATGAGTTTGACTTAATTTTTTTTGATTCCACATATGAATGAGATCATACAGTATTTAGCTTTCTCTGTCTGGCTTATTGCACTTAGCAAAATGCCCTCTGGTTTTATCCATGTTGTCAAAAATGACAGCAGATATATATATACATATATATGTCTCACATTATATATATGTCTCACATTATATATATGTCTCACATTATATATCTCTCCCACAGTTTATATATATTTCTTTATCTGTTCATCCATCTATAGACCCTTAGGTTGTTCCCATGTTTTGGCTACTTGAATAATTTGAATAATGCTGCAATGAACATGGGAGTGCAAATATCTCTTCAAGATTCTGATTTCCTTTCCTTCAGATATATACCCAGAAGTGGGATTGTTAGATCACATAGTAATTCGATTTTTAATGTTGAGGAACTTCCACACTGTTTTTCCACAGTGGCTGCACCGATTTACATTCCCACCAACAGTGCATGAGGCTTCCCTTTTCCCCACATCCTCGCCAGCGCCTGTGATCTCCTGTCTTTTTGACAGTAGCCATCCCAACAGGTGTAAGGTTGTCAGAGAAGGGAAAATTTCCCCTTCCCCTCTTAGTTCTTTTGGCGGGTTGGCTGAGTAATTAAAATGACACAAGACAGAATCATAGGAGAAAAACAAATTAAATTATATACCTGTGGGGAATCCCCATAAACATAAGACATTCCAAAGACAGGCAAAATGAAGTTATGTATGCCATCCTGAACTGAGAAGCGGGGAGGGGTCTGAGCCTTCAAAGGGCAGGAGAGTCATTCACAGGAAGATGAAAAATAAATGTTTGGTAAACAGATATTTGCTGGGCCATAAAGGAACAACAAGATGCAGAGAGGAATTTTAACACACACACTTTGCTAGGTTTCTCCCTGTCACCCGACCACACCTGCGGCCACACTGTACTGTCATTATCTAGGATGGTGGCTCGTTTCCGGGAAGAGGCCCTCTATCTAAGTTCTTTCAGGCAGTGGTAAAGGTAAAAAGAAAGAGGTAAAAAGAAAAACTTCCTGAGTCTTCTGTTTCTTAAAAATAATCAGCCTAAATTAATCCTCATGCCAAAGAGACACATTTTGGGGTGGCAAATGTTGCTCCCCCAGAAGGTGAGATCTCATTGTGCTTTTGATTTGCATTTTCCTGATGAGGAGTGGTGCTATGTGCATGACTTCTCTGGAAAACTGTCCACCCAGGTCCTTTGCCCATCTTTTTTTTTTTTTTAAAGATTTTATTTATTTATTTGAGACAGAGAGAATGAGAGAGAGAGAGCACATGAGAGGGGGGAGGGCCAGAGGGAGAAGCAGACTCCCTGCCGAGCAGGGAACCCAATGTGGGACTCGATCCCGGGACTCCAGGATCATGACCTGAGCCGAAGGCAGTCGCTTAACTGACTGAGCCACCCAGGCGCCCCTTTGCCCATCTTTTAACCAGTTACTTGTTTTCTCCCTGTTGAATTACAGGAGTTCCTTATATATTTTAGGTATTAACCTCTTAGCAGATACATGGCCTGCAAATATTTTCTCCTTTTCATTCTGTTGATGGTTTCCATTGTTGTGCAGGAGCTTTTTAGGTTGAGGTAGTCCCACTCATTTATTTCCGCTTCGTTGCATGTGCTTTTGGTGAAATCACTGTCAGAACCAACATCGAGGAGCTTTTCCCCCATGTTTTCTTCTGACAGCAGTGGCAGCCCCTGCGTGTGGCCCCGTCTAGGATGGTTTCCGACGCGGGGCCAAGGGCAGGCCACCCCAAAATGTGCCACTTTGGCATACTGATAGTTTTAAAGAAAAGTTACAGCCAATGTAAGGACACTCAGACCGTCCTGTCCCCAAGAAACAGGAAACAAATCTCCCCTGAGAAAAATACCGTCCTTGTACTAAGAAGTTTTTTAACTTGGGAATTCCTTGTGACCAGAGATAGAGACTTCGAAGCTGACAAAACTGTAGAAACAAACCTTGTGGGGGTTTTTTTACCCCCTAATCTACTACCTCAGCCTAAATTCCGCTTAGAATCCCCTACTAAAGCTCCCAAACACCTGTTTTCTTTATCCTGTCAATTCCTCACAAGTTTATTGTCTCTTTGTCTAAAAAGTATAAAAACTGTCTGCTTTGGTCATTTATTTCTTTAGGTCTCAATTTCATTACTGGGCCTCTGTGCCCACATAATGACACTGTTTGTTTTTTTCCTATTACTCGGTCTCATGGAAATTTAATTTAGTCCAGCTAAAAGACATTGAAGGGTAGAGAAAGAATTTTTCCTTCCCTACACTGAATTCCCAGCGGCCATTCTCTTGTGGATCCTAGAGGCGTATCTGCTTGCTCTGGGGTAAAGGACACTTGAGTCTTCCTGTGTGGCTGACGAGCACAGTCCACCCGTTTGTGATGTGTCCCCCCCCCCCCGTTGGGGGTCTTTCTGGTGAGCATCCACATGAGTAACAAGAAACTTATTAGGAGCAGAACTGACTTCTACCCCAATGGCTAGTCCCCAGAGGGAGGCTTGCTCTACATGCCAATCTGAGTCTTGCCAGTGGCCCCCCAAAAATGTCGAGGCCATTAGCCACAGTACACCAGTCAGCAAAAATAGAGCAAACCCCTTTGTTGAGGTGGCCGGGACAGCCAGCCAGCCACCCTGCACGAAGCTCTGCCCGTTATACTAAGCATTCCTTACCACACCCGGGAAGGGAAAGGTCTCTCTCAGCGTGGATGGCAGCTGAACCCCGTCCCTGCTTGTTAGTAGTTACCCAGGAGAAGCCGACAGGGAACAGGCCCATTTGTGGTCCAGGAAGCCTCTCTATCTGGGACCTCACTGGGCTGCCTCCTTGGGAAATATGCCAGGGAGCCAGAGAGACACTCCTGAGATCTTTCCTTGGAGTTATGAGACCTCATCTGGGCTGCGTTTTGTTCATTCCTGTATGTACCATTTATATCTTAGTATGGAAGACTCTTGAACCACCTCCACCAGGTGATTTGAGACATCTGCTTGGATCTGTGACATGACTGGGATTTCTGGTCTTTTTTTTTTTTAAAGATTTTATTTATTTATTTGACAGAGAGAGACACAGCGAGAGAGGGAACACAAGCAGGGGGAGTGGGAGAGGGAGAAGCAGGCTCCCCGCAGAGCAGGGAGCCCGATGCGGGACTCGATCCCAGGACCCTGGGATCATGACCTGAGCTGAAGGCAGTCGCTTAACCAACTGAGCCACCCAGGCGCCCATGGGATTTCTGGTCTTAAGATTACCTCACAGCCATCGATCATGTGCGCAGTATCCACCAAAGCCAATAGCAGGCCACTCATTCTGTCCTGAGCTGACGAAGACACTAAGACATTCAGACTCTTGGATTCATCTCCCGATTCACCAGGAGAGGCAGAGGGCCATCACCATGCAGACCCTAGTAGGACCATCTATCAAGTCCCCCATGACCTGGTACTGGCCCAGAGTTCCTTAGTGGGGAGCACATCAATCTCCTTCTTTGAGGACCCATTACTGAGTGACTGGGCCCAGAGCTGTCTTTGGAAAAAGCTCTTGCCCAGAAAGTCCACAAGAGGGCTCCTGATCGCCATTTTGACATTTTTACTTTGGTCAGTCAAATTTGCTCTATTTGCAGTAGCCACTTTTTCAGTGCCCAGAAATTTCTCAGTGAAGATCCAGATTGTGTGGCTGACCAATTGACCTAACCTCATTCTGAAGCTTAATTGGGTGGTTTAATTGGGTTCGATAACGAGCAGGAGCAGCATGAACAAACCTAAAAATCTTTGCCTGGTGAACAACCTCATCAAACACCGTTCCCACTCCCTCACTGTAGATCCCAAAGACTACCAGGCTGGGTGCGGGGTCTCCGTAGCTTCTGTAAGGGGGCTCCAGACAAGTTTTTTCATTGCCTCATCATGTGTGGGCCAAATCTGTCAGAGCCCAAAGCTGAGGAAGAGGGTCTCTGATAATCCTACCCTCTCATCTCTCCCTTCTTCCTCCTCCTCAGGTAAAGTGGCTACTGTCAAGGCACTCTGGAGGAGGGGGTCTACGGTGATGTACCTCACTCGGAGCCACTTTCCCTTGTGAAGTTGAACAAGATTCCCTCTTTCATCACAGAGGCAAACTTGTCAAGTTACTAAGGTCTCCTGAGAGCACTGGACATAGCAATCTCAAAGAGCTCTACATTTTTTTTTAATTAGAAGCATGAGTCTCAATAACACAATGCCCAGCAGACCGTCCACTGGCACCAGGGATCGGCTTAGATCTAAGAATAGTCATTGGGTGCAACTCAGTTTCCCTGGTCTCTGACAACTTCTGGTCCCGTCATCAGAGAACAGGAAACAGTAGTGAGTGAATTGCTTCCCTGGCTTTCTTACAGTCCCTCGCTGTTGGATTTCTAATTTGACCCACCCAACGATTTCAGCCAGGGTGTTGGGAGCTAAAGAGAAGGACCAGTGGTCCACCTTGGAACCCAAAAGCTTATATAAACAATTTGCGGGATGCCTGGGTGGCTGACTCTTGATTTCGGCTCAGGTCATGATCTCAGGGTTTGAGATGGAGCCCCGCGTTGGGCTCCATGCTCAGCACAGAGTCTGCTGGAGATTCTCTCTCCCTGTCCCTCTGCCCCTCCCACTCGTGCGCTCTAATAAATAACTAAATCTTAAAAAAAAAAAAAAAGGAAAAAACAATTCGCTGCCATCCTCCAAGAATGCCCCGTGGCTTCTGCTGCCCCATGAGATCCTCTGCCTCTTGCAGCTGACTTGCCAGCACGCTTTGCTGGTACCCCATTGGTCAAGCGCCCCCTGAGATTTTCTTCCACATCAACTACCCTGCTTACTGCACCTCTTTCTCAAGAGCTGAGCTGAGCTACAGAAAGCTGAGTCGCCAGGTTTCAGAGTAGTCGATTAAAACAAGAAGTCAAAATAAAACTAACAGTCAAGACTCTAATCACTTCCTTTGATAGTATAACCAGGGGGTGAACCAGAGAAGGTGCGGACCACCCCCCACTGTTCCATGAACCAGCTCCAGCAAGGGTCAGATGGATTGGCGCAGCCTCGAGGGATGGTCTCACTGGGGAGGAAGCCCTGAACAGAAGGCTCCTGCCATTTTATGGACCCACACGCGGTGGGGGGGCAGTGAGGAGGAAGGGCTGGGAGTGGAAAAGTCCTGAGTACCGAGTGGAGAAAATGTGTCTTTAAGCGCCCCGCTGCCTGCGACGAGGAGGCGTGAGCAGGGGTGCCTGAGGAAGGCCTCTGCCACGGGCACGGGGCTGGGAAGGCAGCTCCGGGTAAGAGCGTGGTTGACCGGGGGTCCTCTCCTCCGAGAATGCAGTGCACGGGCTGGGCACCCAGTGAGATGCGGAGAAACCAGCCTCTTTCCATGACGCCTGCCCAGCGGCTCCTTTGTATTTGCCTGAAAGATCACGCCAGGAGCCAGACTACTTCCTCTCTCCAGGGGTCCCCGCTGTCCTTGCCCCAAAAGCATGACACAAAGGAGCTCAGAGCTCTGCCCCTTAGGAAAGCCCTTGCTGTGGGGCTGGGTGTTTCGGGCTCCCATTCCAGAGGTGCGGCGTGCCCCCTCCACCGCACACGTACACAGGGTACACGGCGGGGGGCGGGCAGGGCTGCGGTCTGGCCCCTGCTGGAACGCTACGACGTTCATAGCAACTGGTCGGATGCGCTTTATGGGATTTGGACAAGTGAGCAGAACTGAGGCTGGTCGCCGTCCCCGGCAGCGGTCTCTCTGCTCCGGAGCCTACGTGCTCAGCACCCAGTGTCCTCACGAGTCTCGCTCGCCCTCGGCGGCTGGGCACTCACTCTACCAGCCACAGCTCAAGCCACACCTGTGCCTGGAGTACTGAGAAAATCTCCCCAGCTGCAGGGAAGATGTGGGCTCTTTCCAGTGCCCCTACTTTTTTATTCTATCTATTGTGGTTAGTCTCTTAATCATCATGTTTGGGGTAGTGAATGTTTACTGAAGACCTACAGCAAGCATGGCCTTGTTCGGGGTGCTCTATATGAGTTCCTTCATTTCCTCTTATTTTCAGCCTTGTCAACCCCTGTTATGATCCCATTGCTCAGATGAGGTTCAGGCAGCTGAAACAACCCGCCTGAAGTCACAAAGCCAGTCTGTGGCAGATCCATGGTTTGCAAGCCTGTGAGTCCATAGTTGGTCTTCTTCCCACGAAGCCACCCCGCCTTCCACACTCCTTCCTTCCCACTCCCACGTGCTTACCTCTCTATGCCAGCTCAGCAGCCCAACCTGTGTGTGGCAGGCCTGGATGTGTGCGGTGGCTTCCAGGCAGCGAGCTCAATAGTTCCTCCTGAAGAGAGAGAACACTTAGCGAAGTACTTTCCTTAGCTTGTTGGGATGGAGACCAGTTGTTTCAACACGAGAAATCAACCACTCCACATACAAAGCACATGGGTTAAGGGCAGGGCTCCCAGCCTTGGAGATTTCATGGACTAAATAACAAAACAGGATTCTGATACAGATCATGGTCTTTTCATTTCACCAATTAAGACCATTTAAAAGAGTACCATTTATACTCCTCCTACTACTAATACTAACGGCAGGAATATGTAAACCTTAAAGAGAAAGGCTACAATGTGCCAGGTGTTCTTAATCTGTCAATGAACTATTTGATTTCATCCTCATAAAGATCCTATTCAATAGGCATCACTGTTATCCCCGCTTTATAGGCAAGGAAATCTGAAAAAAAAAACCCTGCCTCACTTGTCTAAATCCCATAGGCTATGTAAATTGCCCCGATTCTGCACTGATAACCATTATAGTATACTCTCTGTCATCTGTGCTTCATAAAAGATATCCTTATTTTTCTTAAGTTTTTTTTTTTAATAGACTTTTTTTTTCCAGTGGGCTCCTCGCCCGACGCGGGGCTTGAACTCATCATCCTGAGATCAAGAGTTGCCTGCTCTATCAACTGAGCCAGCCAGGTGCCCCCATAAAAGATATCTTTAAAGGAAACCATCAAGCATACAACAGAGGCCCTTATCTCAGAATCTGGGAATAGCTAAGCAAAAAGCACAGAAGCTCTGGGTTTGAGTCTTGGGCAAATTAATGCTCTTCGTCTCTGTTTTCTGAAATCTAATATGAAAATATTAACATCTGGGGGCGCCTGGGTGGCTCAGTCGTTAAGCGTCTGCCTTCAGCTCAGGTCATGATCTCAGGGTCCTGGGATCGAGCCCCGCATCGGGCTCCCTGC